CCCCCCCCCCCCCCCCCCCCCTAGAATAGTCAGATATCTTGCAAGTCAGATATCTTGCAAGTCAGAAATCTCGCATCACACCAGAATCACAGGGCTGCAGAACTTCCCATATTTTTCGCAGCTGTTCCTGTTTAGGTCTAATAAGTGTACAATATAAATTTCCACTCGATAATTTCATCTACAATGCCTTTCAACTATATTCAATCGAGTGAGACGCCAACAAAAACTTGATATTTTGTTAATTTATATTGTACAATGTAGCTGTGACTTTAATTCGTATTGCATACTTGAAACCGAACTGTAAAATATCGGCGGGTGAGAGCAAATTGCCAAGTTGGTAGGGTTAGGTTTAGATTTGATTTATTTTATAAAAATATACAAATGTAACTTTAATTCGTATTGCATACTTGAAACCGAACTGTAAAATATCGACGGCAATTTTTGTCTACATCTGCACTTCTACTCACTTTTCCTGCTCACGGCTCTTCTCTTTTGGTTGCCTCCTAGATTCATATTCAGGGGACGAACTGCGCTTCCTTTCACGGTTTCTGGGAGATGGAGACCTGCTTCGACGTTTTTTCTTCTTTTTAGAATCTTTTCCCATATTTCAATGGTCGAAAATATAACTTAAAATCTCATAATGGTAAAATCACGTTCTTAAATTTATTATTTGCTGCCATATTGCATTTGCTTTCAAATCAGAGCCTGCGTTCCTTATGGCCTGTGGACCGAAACAGTCGACCCGACTTCATGTAGACCTCGTTATAGTATATCAAAATTATAAGGACTATCTTTATATGACCTATTAGGCCCGTTTCATACGCCGTACTTCACATGTGCCTTCTTTATGCCTCATTACCTATTGTTTTTAATGTATTCGGCACATGTGAAGTACGGCGTATGAAACGGGCCTTAGCAATTCGATTTCAATTCCCAGGGTCCTAAAATCTTTTATGCTTAATTTTTATTCTTTTATGCTTTTATGCTTAAGAGTGCATAATGCACATATTATAAATATTGACTTATTAACAAATTAAAATATCTTTCTATAAAGCGCACGATTTTCTGCTTTTGGGAATTTAAAGCAGCTTCTTAAACAGTTTCTTTATGCATAAATTTACTTATAAAAAAATTTCATTTTTTTTTTCCAACCTCGGAATTTTGAAAAAAATTTCATTTTTTTTTTTCCAACCTCGGAATTTTGAAAAAATATTTTTATGTCAAGCTTTTATACACTTGTGGGTTTAGCAGAGTGCTGATCGGCATTCAAATTCTAACAATACGTTATTTCAATAGTTTTGGGTTTTTGGGACACCCCGTATAGTGGGGCGGATAAGCGCACAATTTTCGGCAATAATTGTGCAGTTAGTGAAAAAAAGCACCATATTGACAGTATGTGTAGACTTTGACACAAGTATGAATATCAGATATGGAGGCATCTGCGAAATTAACGCTGATAGCTAAAAATTTTGAATTTCTGACACTAAAAAAATGAATTTCTGACATTAATATAAATTTCTATTACATGATAGAAATTTTAAAATTGCAAGGTAGAGGTAGCTCATAGAAGAAATAAGTTGTATGGTTGAAACGTACACAAAAACTGTCTATAGAATATTAAATCAATTTTTTGATTTGCCAAGTCGTTTTTAAGTTAATCAGTTTCGAAATCGCACAAAATAGATAAAAAATAAGTGCAAAGACTGGCACTAGCTTCAAATCGCCTTTTTTAACAGGTTGCAGCTCAGGAAATATTTGGAAAATCAAAAAAGTGCTTTAATTTCTATAGACATTTTTTGTCTATTTTTCAGCCATAGATCTCACCTTTTGTGAAGTACTTGAGGATTTTAAGATTTCGAGCAGTAATAAAAATTTATAATAAAATGTCAGAAATTCCAAATTTGGGGCTATTAGCGTTAATTTCACAGATGCCTCCATATCTGATATTCATACTTGTGTCAAAGTCTACACATCCTGTCAATATGGTGCTTTCTTCACAAAATGCGCAACACTTTCACTTATCCGCCCCACTAATACCTGATAAACGGGAACCGAATAGACGGATACAGGATAAACGGATACCGAATAGACGGATACCGAATAGACGAATACCAAATACTCGGACACCGGATAAACGAATACCCGGATAAACGGTTGCCGGATAGACGGATACCGGATAAACGCTATCTGAAACCGTTTAAAAATTAAGTAAAGCCTTCTTGGCTACATCCAAAAATATTGTGAGACGATAAGAGGACTAAACACATTTAGAAAACTCTATTAGTAAAATACGGATTAATGTGCAATTTATTTATGAAATAAAACCTTACTTAACATTACAAAGCTAAACATACAAATATTTATGATTAAGCTACGCTCGTGCCAAAGTTACACTGATTTTGAATGTGATAAGAGAGTTAAAAGATTACGTTATTGATGATATACAATTATTCGTGCACCACCATGTTTCATTAATTCTTTGGCTTCTTCCGCTGTAATAACGATTTCGCCGTTTAAATATTCTGTGGAAGAAGAAAATATACATATTAACTTAATGCCGGGTTATACGAAACAACTTTTGCCGCAACTTGCAACCTAATTTCTGACGTAAAGCCATCTCATGAAAAAAGTACTCGCAAGGAAATTAGAAAAGTTCAGATTTCTCTTCCACTACCTATCATTGGCTTAGTACGCATCTGATTGGTTGATCGGATATATCAAACTCATCTGATTGGTTAATGGTCGTAGGGGTGACGGTAGTGGAAGTCAAATCTGAACGTCTCTATTGTGAGCAGGCTTCCGACATTTTTCGTCCCATTTCTTTCATTTTTCATCCCTTATGAGTATATGTTATATATAGAAAGTGTCGGTGGAGTAGAATGTGGAACATGCTCGCATTTGAATAGTAATAAAGATACAAAGTAAGTTTGTCTAATGTGAAATAATTTTCTAAAGAATCAAATAAGAATATTTTGAGGTGTTGGTTGTGCAGTGTGACAGTGGTTATTAGGTAGGGGAAAAGGGGTGTGCAGCAAAGGAAACTACCCCCCCCTCCCGTCCGCCCCGAGAAAATTATTATTACTTATTAAGCCAATTGGCACTTATAATTTTGAGAATGATAAATGTACGATTCTGTATGGAACAGCCATAAGTATGCAGCTAACTGATATGGCCATAAAGCCACTTAAATGTTGGTTTTTTTTTCAACCAGCGAGTTGAAATTCCCCGTCGATTACATGACGAACTAGTTTCGCTTGCTGTGTTTTAATAGGATTTTGTCCCTTATGGCCCGTGCTGAAATTTCAGCCCGGAAAATCAGCCCCAGACAGCTCGTGCATACATTAGCGGAGATGCAAAAAGTTAAATCATCAATATTTCGCACATACCTTCGTCTCCAAGACTATTTACCGCATCCATGTCGTCTATGGCGATGTCGACGATGATGATGGTGAGGATGGTGATGATGGTGGTGACGACGGTGATGATGGCGACGAAAGTGGTGCCACCATGGTGAACGTTTGGGTTTTTCGTCGTCATTTGAAGGTGTCCCTTTTACACTCTCTAGGGTGTTCTCCCTAAAATGTGAGAACATATATTAATTTTAATGGCATTTACCATTTCACTGGTGTATTCTAAATCTAGCTATTTTCAAGAAGGATTTACAAGAAGTATGAATTTGCAGTTAAGTTATGCGATATTGAAATTTCAATACTGGCTACCGAATAAGAATTGCCTGACCTAACGCTGCGATTATTTAGACAACTGTGTGTGATTTATTTGCCTTAATTTTGCGTAGCTATGTGCAAATACGTACATTTGGTTTAATTTGTTATAAATGGCTAAAGTATTGGCTTCGCATTAGAAAACTTAGTCTTAGAACGACGGTTATTCTTTGGCCATTCTTCAACCTAGGTAGGTGTTAAATTTTCATTGCCAAGTGCCAACAGCTTAATATATTGAGATCCTATTTTCTGCACACATACATTGTGTTTGTGAACTTTTCTTGTTGTTCAAATAAAAAGATAAACTAATGATAGCCATGATACCGGTAACTCTTACAGTATACCGCTGATATACGGTATACCGGTCCGGTATAAAACCAACACCGCCATCAACTAAATACCGTGAATAACTATAACTGGAATACCGTTATACCGCCTAACTTTAATTTGCAGTATTGCAGATAGATATTATGGTATGTGCATGTTGTAGCTAGTTAGTCAAAACAAGGTTTTCAATAAGAGAAGGGTTGTCAGAAGGAAAAGGAAGATCGTTGAGTGATGTGAACTGGTCTTGTAGAGTATAGCTGAGAATTGAGCAAGATAACGCTTTTCGTAAATATTTTGACTTACGTTTCATCATCACCATCACTTTCGTCATCATCTTCACCATCACTTTCGTCATCATCTTCATCATCATTTTCGTCATCAGCATCATTTTCTCGATTCACAAATGAATCTGCCCTGCAAATAATATACTTAGATTGTTAAAATAATCATAAAAGACTTTCTTTCAACAAAACTAAACGAACTTTTTACTCATACTTAGCTCTACCATTTCTAAACTTTCTCCCTAGAGGTTCAGTATAAGAGCCACCCCTTATTTGTCCTGTGTTACTACCTAAATCAAACTAACTTTATTTATACTGCATGGGTTATTTATATATGAACAAAAGAAGGAAATTAAAAAGCACAGACTTACAATCGCACATCATTTTCGTCAGTGTCACTATAGGTATCTTCCAAAGCTGCTTCTCTGAAATCATCTGCAGTTTCTTCAGCGTGTCCAACACCAAGGAACACAGCACAGATTGCGACCAGCAAGGCTAGAATTGTCCAACTCTTCATCGTGATGGCTGATTCGATTCCTTCTGGTTACCTTGCCCGTTTGTACGCGCTTTTATGCGTACCGAAGGGGCGGGGTGGCGCAAAGAGATGAAAGAGTTTCTTGTGTTAGCTTGGAAATGGCGACAACTGATTGGTCTGCGCGAAATTGCGATGAAATTAGCTGATAATAGTTTGATGGACAGGTGTAGGAATGTATTTGCATTCCTGAATGCTTTGACCCGAAAACAAGGCACGTAGAGACTTACTTAAAAATTCTGAAATATTTCTATTTGTCGTAATTTGGAGATCGATTAAAAGATAATCTCGACTACGCATTCTATTTTTTCCCAATAATTGCATATTCCCTTTTGAAAAATATTTTGGTATCTTCATACCATGGACATGGCAATGAACAAGGCAATATTTTTACATGGTAAAAATACATTTGTTTTTATGGAAAACACGACGTCTGTCACGTTGCTACAAGTGTGTACTACAAGTGTGTACTACAAGTGTGTACTACAAGTGTGTACTACAAGTGTGTACTTCATGTTCTTCCTGGCGGTCCAGTAAGGGTCATCACTTCCCTAAACTAACTTGTGGATGATACCAAATTTGACATACTATGGACTAGCTATAGCTCTTCTAAACTGCTGTTCTCACTAGTGCATGTATGTATCATGTAAATTGTGGTACAGGAATTGTTGCTATTTTATTAAGTGTGCCAAGGATTTTTAACCAGGACTGAAACTTCGCAGTGCATGGGTATCTCGAGGTTGATCCTACACACAGTAGCTCTTTTTAAAATATATATTATATATATATATATATATATATATATATATATATATATATATATATATATATATATATATATATATATATGTACCGTTTCGGCATAGTGGGCCTCATCAGTGTAGTGCTGATGAGCAGGATATATATATATATATATATATATATATATATATATATATATATATATATATATATATATATATTTCGATGGAACAATTATAAATCAATGTCCAACAAAGCTCATACACAAGCCTTTTTTCATTCGCATTTCTTAGGTGAAAACCATAATGGCTTAATGAATGATTGTGATATAGTCATAATTACAAAACCAACCCAGCAGAAGCAACGATTAGGGAAATGTACTGGATTAATAGACTTATGACAATGTACTCCTCGGGGTTGAACATTGAACAGGATTCTGAGGAGTATGAATAATTATGTTCGTCTGGTAGGGTATATAAGTAGGGGTTTATGTTAACGATTTTTACTTGGAAGAAGACAATAAAGTCGAAACGTCAATATGTGTTAGTGATTAACTTATTTAAATGGCTTTTTGCCAGGTGATTAACTTAATATATATATATATATATATATATATATATATATATATATATATATATATATATATATATATATATATATATATATATATATATATATATATATATATATATATATATATATATATATATATATATAACAGTGGGTCAGTGTTACGACAGTAGAACAATTACAATAACTTTACTGTTATACTGGATAGCTCATCAGTTGTAAATTGTTCTCCTTGGACGTCGTCACGTCGACAAGAACTCTCACATACGACAGAAGTGCGGACAGGCATAGATAAAAGAATTTTCCATTGGGCATCAGTGCATGGAACACTCAGTGCACTCAAATACTTGAAATACATTGCAACACTTCGATAGACAAATTAATTGCAAGGTCGTTAAAGAATAAAGGAAAGCCAAAGTACTTCTGTCGCAATACATTTCTGTACCTAATTATGTAGGCGGTGTTAATAATCAGACTCTCGTACATGCTTCGGTTAATTAACTGCGGGAATATGATTATTTTTTATCTTGTTGAAACATTACGTTCTTTTTCATCAGCTTTCGAGTTTCGATCCATGTGCCTGGATCTTCACCAGTCTAATTATTATAGCACTGATGCAGACCGGACTTAGATCGAAAGGTTTGCCGAAGAAATGAATGTCGTGTCTTCCAGAAAATAAAACAATTAAATTTATTTTTGTCATGCAAATCTACATTATACAAGGAACTTATTATACACGTTAATGGTTTATTACCATGCACGTAGCTATCAAAACATTTTGGGCAACTCATTCGAAAGAACTAAATGCTGAATGATTTTCTAGTTTCTCTTGGTTATAGGTCTAGAAATGTATATCAGTAATTCAATTTCATCTATAAAACATAGGTCCGCTGTGGCGGACATGCATCTACTGAATAGACTCAATAGTAGCACTTGGAAATAAAAGGCATTGAGCAGATAAAAGCATAGATGTGCACTCTAGCTGACCTTTGGAATTGATTTCTGGCATTTCCAGAGTCATAACATAAGTTATAAGCACAACGTGCAAACGTCGCATTGTCGACGTTTTAAAATTGTATTTCCGGTTGGGATTGCATCAAATTACGCAATGTCTGAACAAAGATATAACTTCGGCCCCGTATCTTCATTGCAATATTCTTGTTCGAATCATTACCAATAACTACTGTGTGGAATGTTTATATTTTCGAGATTGTATCTTCAAATTTGTATCTTTTAGTTTTATCACGGTATATAAAAATTTCCGATTTCTAGTCCGACTGTGAGCTAACAAAAACAATAAACTTAATATACCATGTCGCTTGACTTTCAAAGGCCATAAATCTCTACAATGTTGATAGTGACTTCAACTATTGTGAGGAATTAGTTGATATTGTTTCACTGAATCGAATGCATTGAACTAACCTAGGACTGAACCGAAGATATGAACATACAAAGTCGTCGAGAAAGAGTTCAGACAATTGTGTAATTTGATAACGGTATCCAGTCAAAACGTCCCCAGGTTAAAGCGTCCCCGACTCTGCGCAGTCTAAACGTCCCCAGGCCAAAAACCCCTAACTCTTGTGTTCAAATAAATTGAACTGCAACTAAATTATAAAAGAATAAACATGTTCACAGACATGGGAGTATGTAACTCTGAATTAATTGCTTTATTTGGCAATGAACTTATTCGCAAATAATTGTAATAGTGCCAAGATTTCAGAATGTTTTAGTGTTAGTAAATTTGTCATGATGCATACATACACTCACCAAATCACCAATATGTGAAATTTAGCAAGGAAATTTAGCCACTAAACAACATATTCACCTTATAAAATCATAACTATATCTGACCCTGGTTGAATATATCAAACCGTGGTTGATTTAGTTCCTTGATCAGATCAGAAGAACTAATCCAAAAATATTATATGTGAAAATAGTTTAAAATTACTTTAAAACTGACAGAATATCTGACATTTAGCCAACAGATTTGGCTTTATTTGGGATTTTGACATGAGTTGGGGACGTTTTGACCTGGGGACGTTTTGACTGGAAAGCTTTGATAACATGCGATCTCGCTTGACTTTCAAAGGCTACAATCGCTACAATGTTGATAATGACTAAAACTATTGTGCACTGAACCGAAGATATGAACATACAAAGTCGTCATCCTCTCGCGCAGTTATACGGCATTCTTCGTATTGCACACTGATATCGAGTTTCTGGCGCAAACGTGATTGCAGAACTTGCAGTTTACTTGAATATAAGCACAAAATGTAGATTGTAAAAATATAGATAAGAGGAAAATTAAAGTATATTCCCTAAAATAGAACACGACAAAATGCCCTTGACCTTAAGTATTTTTTTACATTTTCTTTGTTAAATAAAATTAAAAGGCTATTTCACATCCCATATATGTCGGTTGTCTGCACGCAAAAACAATTTCAATTCCTATATACTGCAGACATGATGTCTGTACCCCCAGCAATTTCGGTAACTATGTTAATCCTACAGTATTGAAATTCTTTAGAGATAGATTTGTGCTCTAAATATTTGAAAAACAGAATGAGTATAGAGTTTAAAAATATCAATCGGAAATACGAATTATCACATTCGCATTTCAAGATTTGTTTTCTGTTTTAAAGTTATTAAAAAAAGTATACTTTCTTATCTTCGTATACTATAGAATCATACAGTATACATCAGCTGGTTACTATATACTCAACTAAATTTATAAAACTAACTATTCATACTGGGTTTCGATATAGGAATAGTGGACCGTTTTTCTAGAGGTCCATGCATTAAGGAACATATCTTATTGGTTCACTGTAAAGAGGGGGGAACCTTTATCAGTTCTGAACTGTTCTCTCCAGGGATCCTGTAAGAAACATCTCTATTGATTCAATAAGAGATGGTTCAGAGGAAGTCCTTTATTGTGGATAACTGTTATCAGTTCTAAATTGTTCTCCTATATAGAGGTCCAGTAAGGACCATCCTTCAATGGTCGAACATGCAGTGTTAACTCTGCAGTGTTATACCGGCTGCAGGAGGAAATCTATAAACTAAACTAACTTTATAATAGTGAGTTTAAGATACCCCGGTTTCGGTGTACGGGTAGCATGATTTTGGTTAGCAATATTTTCGTCGATGTCTGTACCTTTACTCGTAATTAAGGTGCACATTTTTCGCATTGTATTATTGGCTATTGCAAGAAAACAGAAAAAGTATGATCGAATTACAGACGTCAGTAAAATCTAGTGAACAAGATGACACTATTCGTACCCGTACACTGACTAATGTAAGAGATGTCCGGTATAGGAGCTGTCATTCGTCATCATACACTAACAGAGGAAACTAAATCAAAATGTCTATATTTATATACACTGCAGGATAGCTCTATCAGTTCTATAAACTGTTCGCCTTGTATACAGGTCCATGCAGGAAGGGTCATCTCTTATCATCAGTGGTACTACACTGTGAACTTTATTCTTTAACCAAATTGACTTTATTAATGTAGGTGTCTATAACTTAACTCTATTAGTTCTAATCTGCATGTTCTTATATCGGTTCCGCGTTGCTGCAGAAGGAAACTTGCATGCATGTATATATGATCGTTTTCACATATGGCAGAGATGAAAGACACAGCTAAAAGGCACTTGGCATTGACATTGTGTCACCCTCTACCACACACTCAAGTAGATTGCAAAATTTCAATAAATTTGTTGCAAAATCATGAAAGCAATTTTTTTGAAAATATTTATGTGGGTGTGTTTGCATGATTGCATGCGGAAAATATAATTGGTTTTTGTGGAGACAGCACGCTTATTTTATACAAGGCTTTCGATTTGTAATTGAAGAATATTGTAGATGAAAATTATCGAGTGGAAATTGATACACATTTGTTAGATCGAATTTTCGAGATATTTCAACCTGCACAGTTTAAAACATTTATGTACAAAACTGTTAATAACATGGTTCCTAGTTACTTGTCAAGAAAATTTACTCCAATTTCTATGATACACGAACACAATTTGCGAGGCTCTAATCATAAACTTTTTGTTCCAAGACCCTTACTGGATCCTTAAAGAGAAGCTTTACTTATAGAGGGTTTACCCCGAAGATATCTTATATACACTAGATAGTGCATCTAATTATTCTGCGATTCAAAAATTGAAGCCGTGATTGCAGACTCTCCCATGAAATGAGAAGACTCGTATGTTTTCTATTTCTTAAACAGGGAACTTAAACATTAAGTTAAACCTATTCCAAATACATTTATAAACTATTCAAATGATGAACGTTATTGTTGTTTTTTAAGCGTTTATTATAGCGAGTGGGGAACTTCAACATGGCCGCCATCTATTCAAATGGGGGAAACCGCTGGAATATTCTTGGCTTCAATTTTACTAAAAGAGATGCGCTATCTAGTGTATATAAGATATCTATGGTTTACCCTATATGGAACGACATATACCCGTCGAACTCGCTGGAGCTCAATCTCTCGCTGAGTTTAAATCTAAAATTTCTCAGTAATTGTATTTTATTAGTTTCTTTGCATATGTATAGTCTGTAAGTCTTGTGGATATTTTGATGTTTATTTTTTAGAAATTAGAATAAGTTTACTAGCATAAGTACACGTCTCTATTGAAGAGCACATATTTTAACTTGTGAAATGGATCTCGTGTTCAGTTTAAATAATGGTGTCAATAAATCAAACAATCAACCTGATAAGTATTCTCTAGTTATAATCACTCTGCCTATTACCAGTGTTAAACTGTTGTATTTTAAATAAAAATGTCAATAAATCAAACAATCAACCTGGCTCTCAAAAGCCACTTGGGAGAGAATTTAAGGCCAGGGTCAAACGTCGAACTTTTCATGTGCATGCCGAACCTATATAATGTTAATGAGCTAAGTTCTTTGTTTCACTACTTCATTTGCATTAGGTTCGGCACATGAAACGTTCGACGTTTGACCGTGGCCTAAGATAATTAGTACTATTATTGTTGATTGTACTTGTTGTATTATAATAACGTCAACGCAATTTGCTTTTTTTTCTTCAATAATTATATTTTCCTGCCTTACCAGGATTTACGCACGAACGCAGATCTTCACTAGTATTTGCAGCAGTGATGACGATCTGTGATTTGTAACACATTAGCATCGCCAAGGGTTTGTTCTCAATGCCCATGCATCGAAACTTGACAATGTAGACTGCACTTCATATATCTAAACGAAGGGAAATTTTAAAAATCCGCAGAATGAGTTATGTGGAAATTCGGGCAAATGCCAGGAAAAATAAAGAAAATTCGTGCCGGTTATCAGAAAATATGTTAAATTTGGGTTATTTCATGATCATTACAATCCTCCATAAAAATTCGGGCAAACTTTCAACTGCCCCTCCCCAACCACCTGGAAAGCATCAGCCCTGTGCGCCTATATATATAGACCTGTATCATACGTCGAATTTATAATTCGTTATTAAATTCGTCAATTGGTCGACATTAAAATGGTTTCGTTTCAAACGACGAATTTAATTCGTTTCATACGATGCACTACGGTCGCATTTAATTCGTTCAATTAAATTCGTCTGAATTAAATTCGACGTTAGTGCGACAAATGAAACAGGCCTGACTTTACTAGACTCTAAAAAATTCTTCACTGCAAGCGGACAAGCTCAAATCTCGTTGATATATACACACAATGAACGCAGGAAAAAGACAAACCATAAATCCACGCGGAGTGATTATAACTAGAGAATATACTTATGATTTATATGTGGTTTACAGGTATAAACTATTATAATATGACCGTTGAGAAAGATCGTGACTCTTTTTTTACGAGCATATGCAAACCACAATCATGGCAAAAATTCCGTGGACACTGAGGTGTAAACCAAATTATTACTGTTAGTCTTGAAATGTATTTCGCAAAACTTTCACCTAACCAATGTATAAGCTTTCAACATTGAACCGGGGGGGGGGAAGTTAAACATTGCTGTTTTGCACGTATATATATATATATATATATATATATATATATATATATATATATATATATATATATATATATATATATATATATATATATATATATATATATTGGCCAAGGATGATATTTCCATTTCCGCGCGCGCTGTCCAAAATAATTTTTGCCAGAATTGTAGGCTTAAGAGCTTTTTAGCAGTCTGAAGTGATTAGAATCAAATATAGACAACTCCGGATATGAGGTAGTATTCTGCCATATGCATGGTTGACTCTGCTAAGAGGATAGGATGATTGCGACCGAGAAAACAGAAAGTTATTCGCTTTTCATATATGATATAGCCTTAACATGCATGCATGCAGGAACAAAAGCAGAGAACACCTTGTAGAATAAGGTGTTTAACCATGACCAGAAATCACAGACATGACTATTCTAGCTACTTCTTTATACCAATTTGCATATAATCGATGCATATAACCCGTTGAAATATGGCTTCTGCAGCAAACACCTTGTAGAATAAGGTGTTTAACCATGACCAGAAATCACAGACATGACTATTCTAGCTACTTCTTGATACCATTTTGCATATAATCGATGCATATAACCCGTTGAAATATGGCTTCTGCAGCAAACAGTAAATTATATTTCTTTCGATGTTTAATAACAGAATGCGCACTTGGAAAACCTACTGCTCTATAAATGCCGTTCTTTCAACTTAAGCTGTTGCTCATAATCTAAACTATTATTTTTTTTATATAGCTATGTAAATAGTGTTCTAGACTTGTCTTTAATGTTTGTCTACTTATTGTTTTGTATCAGGTTGGTCTTCACATGGGACTCATGTCCTGTTCACCATACCTTCAATCATTGTTATAATTTTTATGATTGTAAAGTTAATAAATAAATAAATATAAATAAATAAATAAACTTGCATAAACTCGTATAATGTCGTAAAAATAAAGTCGCAATCTTTCTCAAAGGCCAGTTTATAATAGTTTTTACCTGTAAACCACATATAAATAATAGTATTCTCTAGTTATAATCAATCTGCCTATTACCAGTGTTAACTCCTTTTAAACTGTTGTATTTCAGCTGTCGAGAAAGATCCTGACTCAATCTTTACGACCATTTTTATACGATCATATGGAAACCAGGCTATATTTAGAGTTAAATAGACAAATGTCGAAAAAACTAACCACTGTACAAATATTGAAATGCAGAATAGGCATTAACTGAAATCTGGCGGCCAACATTACACTAAATACGTCGACAGACTTTATTTTGCAGCCAGCGATTGAGGCAAGTTGCGACCTACTTTATTCTCAGATTTTGCGTTTTACAATTGAAATTCACTGTTTATACAGTTGAAGCCATATTTCAACGTGGTATGCAAATTACGAAAGAATTTGAATAACTAATAAGCAAGGGTGGGTAGTAGCGAAGTAGTTGTAGTTCGCTACTGTAGCGAACTACAATTTTCAAGTAGCCAGTAGTTTTTGACTACTTTTTTAAAACTGTAGCTGTAGTTATAGCGAACTACATTTTATCTAAAAGTAGCCAAGTAGTTGACTACTTTTCAAACAGCAAATCGCTACTTTTTAAAATTGTTAGCAACTTGATAGAATAGCATGATATTGAGACACGGTTTGCTTAAAATCAATCCTCAATAGTCAATTATTTGCACTCCCGAACAGTCTACGTAGTGCTTACAAAAATATTGCTTTGTGTTTACTGTTGCTATACTCGTAAGTCGATTTGTTATAGGTTATACATTACAGCCTGAGTTAGTAGATGCTTCAAATACAGTAAAACTAAAAAATATAGAGTAGCGAAATAGTTCGCTACATTTTTTAAGCAATAGCTGCAGTCAGTAGCGAACTACCTTTGTTCAAAAGTATAGCAGTAGTTGTAGCTGACTACATATTTTTGAAGTAGCTGTAGTTATAGCGAACTACAAAAATGTTGTAGTCAACCCATTCTTGCTAATAAGCCATGTCCGTAGTTTCTGGCCATGAAACTAGCTTTATGCATGGCTTTTACGTGATTGCCATGCCATGGATCTTACGGCAAAATATTTTACCCGCTTGTAATGTCATATTGTTTGCATGTATTCATTTAGTACATATATACTGTATCTGCAAACAAACTAAAATATCTCGTGAACGAAAAGAGTCGATGGACGATGCATGAAGCATGTAAAATAGGTTATATATTCGTGCATGGTTTTTTCACTAACCAAAACATGTATATATAGATTATAGGTTATTTTATACAGTTACACAAGTTGTTTCTATACTTTAAATGCAGACTTGAATTTCGTTGCCATTTACATTTTCTTTTAAATAAACTTAAGTAAACTACTATATATCATTAAGGCTTCGTAGACATTAGGGCGCTATCGAACATTCGAATTATTAGATAAAAAGAGATAAAAAGGTACAATTGCTGTATATTTAACAAATATAAAACATTTTCCGTGTTGATATACACACAATTTCGAGTTTTCCCAATTTCCACGAGTGTTGATATAACTGTATATCAATACGAAAAAATGTTTTATATTTGTTTTATAATATAGCGCAAAGAAACATAAAGAAAGAAATTTCCCGACCTTTCCGTGTTGACAATGAGTTATATCAACACGGCTCTTAGCGAATCAGCGTTCAGAATTTACAAATGCTATATTATAATTCCCTTTTGAAGATATTTCGGTATTTTGTCAAGTGTCGTTGAATGGTCTTTGCATGGTAGGTATATGCAGGTAGGTATATGTCGGGAAAAGCAAATTTGATGACAGATTGATGACGTATCGATGTAATGCATTGCGAGCATAGGGCGAAAGTCGGTTATCTACGGTTAGTTCCGCTGTTGTCCATAAATGGTTTTGCATGTAAATAACACGAGTACTCAATAAATGGTTTTGTAAATAACACGAATACTCAATAAAATGGTTTTGTCAATAACACGAGCGGAGTTCAAAACTAGTTAACAGCAATGCCAATGGACGTTACCGTCTATCTATTGAAGTAATTCCAGAGAACATCGTCTTTCTAGCAGTAGTTTCTAAGCTGGGAATTGAATGTAGTTCATCCGACCACCTTTAAACCTAAGTTACATATACTATAACTTACATTAGATAAACATTTTGTATTATTTCTTTATATATGGCAGGTTATTGATTAGTGATAATTTCATTTCATTCGATTCTAGAACCCGCTTTGTATGTAATTTCGAGTAGCTATAATTGGCTCTTACAGGTACTAGAGCTCTGAACTTTTCAAGCTTGAAATTCAGGTTTTGGATAATTTCAAATCGTTAGTACAAAACCTTTCTTTTCATTATAAACTCTATAATATATTTAACAGCTAGCGCGATCCATAGTCATACATGCATGCAACCTCGTCCCTAGGGCCTTCGTGCTGAGGAGGCCTCCGCGCCTCCGAAGCACGAAGGCCCTGGGGACGAGGTTGACATGCATGGATAGAAATTCTATTGATAAAAATATTTTACTGTTATAATCGGTCAACTGAAATCGTGACCCTATAAACTCGGGGTTTTTTTCCTAACCTTCCAAATATTAAAAGGTTATATATATCCTATTGAGCTTCGCTGAGAATATTTTACCAAACCAACTCGAGTATCAACAGAAGCTTCAAACTTTTCAAGTTTTTGGTCACTTTAAATCTTAATAATAGCTTTTCTTTTTGTTTCTAATTTGTTTAATACATTAATACGTTATCCGTCTCGCGCAAGGCTATATTCACATGACATAAACTACTAGTATTTACATTCAAAGGAATCTAGAGCTATAGCAATATTTATGCAAATTTAATACTCTTGTGGGTTTTTATTTATAAACCCATGCACTCACCCACAACTGAACTTCTCAACAAGCTAGGTACATATAGGCACAAATTAACAGCTTAGCCTATTAAGTTCCACTGCACCAGCTAGTACTGGGGCTATGGTGGCGTGCTGATTGCACCACCGACTTTGGTAGTGCAATTGTCAGAGCAAGGACTTTTTACCTCTGAGATTGTTGGTTCAATTCTCACCACTTCAATGACACTTATGTGAAAAGAGTCATGCAGTCAACACTCTGACAAAAGTTGTGGGTTTTCTCCGGGAACTCCAGTTTTCTACAAAGGGAATGTTGACAGGGTGGCTTGGGATTACCCTCTAACTCACCCTCAATAAGGTGGCACCAGAGGCACCCTCAGACAGCCTTTTACTCAATCAAATTGTGCTATGTTGAACTGTACCAGCTACAGAGAAAATATACATTTCAGGGGTTGCAAATATAATATTATATCTATATTCATATCACATGTAGTTGAAGATCTTTTGGAATTCAAGAACATCAGTGACAAATGTCAAACTGCACACAATACACTGAAAAACAAAAATATTCAAATCACTTCATGGCAAATTTAATATACATGTATCAAGCAGTAGTCATAGTAGTGACAGCACTACTGGGCTCTGTACAGGCGCGGACCAGTGGTTTTGTTGACTGATGCACTAAACCTCGCATTTGTAGGGGGGTCCGGGGGAATCCTCCCCCGGGAAATTTTGAAATCTAGGACCTCGGAAATGCGATTTCCTGCGTTCAGAGGGAGCTTTTCTTCGAAGTTCACACATCAAAATCGAAACGTAATTTGCTGGATTTTCGGGGAAAAAACGTAAAAAATCGGTTTATACAGTGAGAACAACATAATCATGTGAGTTTTAAAATAAATTGAAAACATTTTTACGCGGAGTTTTATCAGATCGAAACTTGACTGGCCTTATTTATTTGATCCTATTTGAGTGAGGATTATAGAGTAGCAAAGTTGTAGCTATAATTTACAATTTTACATACAAGTGTACACTACTTACATGTACACAACATACTGATAGAATAATTGAAAGCAAAAGCACAGATATTTTTTCTGTGTAAAATATGGTGCAAATGACATGAAAAGCTGATCAGGGTTGTGTTTCTTATGCAAAATAGATAAGAATACTTCAAGCAAACTATTATATTCATTGCCAATGATATCACTTCCTGTAACTTATCACTTCCTGTTACCAGTTAACACCAATCAATATAACAATGTTCCAGGTCAAATACCTTCCAGCAGCACCACCATGACATAAATTCCAGTTAAATTATTTTAATAATTCAGGATTAATTCCAGGGCAACTTTGAGTTACTGTATATGAAGGCCCTCTCTGGAGCTAGTCACTCTAATATTTATGGATGCATTTATATCCAACATTTTGACAAATGCAGTTTGAATTTTTAAATACTGTAAGATTATCAAAGTATTCAAGGATGTTAGGTAATAGTTTTCATTGTTGCTGAGCAGTTAATAATAAAAATAAACAATTATTGAAACTATTTGCAGAAAATAGATTATTCTACTGTATTTGAAGTCTGGATATCTACAATACATTGACCAATATATCTCCACAGATTTTGCATTGAATCCCAAATTACAATACATTCAGGAGTGTCTAGGACTACTGTATGTATCCAAAACTGCTGTTTCAAGATATTAAAGATAGACAGGGAGAAGTGCAGTTATGGACTTGGTAGCTATCTGATTGAATGAGCAGGATTGACAAGCTTCAGTAACAGTGGCAGTAACACTTCAGTAACAGTGTATATATATATATATATATATATATATATATATATATATCTGTGAAAAATGTTTTAAATTTAGGCAAATCGTTCGACTTTTATGGCGTTTTAAATTTAGCTTTCGATGGCCCGGCGCAATCGTATTTTGTGACCACAAAGAGCCTGGGTCTAGCCCGTTTTCTGACGTCATGGAAGGTAGTCGACATTTATCTTTGATCAGCTGGGTATAATTCCGTATATAGAGGATATTATACGGCGGCGAAGATATATATGACTTTTATCTTCGAGTGTGAAAAACAATATTTTACGAACGAACGTAAGCCACCATGTAATGTTCTGTTTATTATATAGTCCCAAGCAAAAAATTGTGAAATTTCATGCTCAAAAGCAAATTGGAAAAGGTCACGTGATCGATATCTATCACACTGTGTATTTTTCAGTATCTCACTCACTACTATATAATAAAGTGTTATGTTGAACTTACGTTTTTTGCTGTTCTAAATTTTTGAAATTGCTGGCTAAACGTAACTGTGAAAACGGCATACAATGCCGAATTTTTTACTGAAGCCAACACCCTGAAATCGTTTGATAATTCGACTGCGCTTAAAGGGATGCAGCAATATATTTTTTATTATTTCATTTTAAAGAACTTTTAAAATTATATGTTGATCTCCTTTACCGATTTTGCGTAACTTTATTATTTCTTGAAATATTTTGGCTTAAAATAATTTGCTGTCCGTCATCTTGGATTAATTTTCTCATTATCGGTTATTTTAGTGACGTCATAAGCAGGGTTAGCCATATAAAACTACATCTAAATGACCAAATAACATTAAGTCTTGTTTGAAAAGTCGTCAGGCAGTTTTTTATTTCAAATAGTTACTGAAGTATATGATTTTGGGCTCATAATAACCAATTGCTCTATGGATAAAACTCTTGCGTGACCCGGCTTATGATGTCACATGCATATCCGCCAAAATCCAAGATGGCGGAAAGCTCGCTGATTTGTAATTTTTTCTGTTCAAATATCTCAAGAAATAATAAAGTTACGCAAAATCGGTCAAAGAGATTTACATATAATTTTAATTAATTAAAAGTTCTTCCAAATGAAATAATAAAAAAATATATTGCCGTATCCCTTTAACAGTGAGAAGAAACGTAGGATGACAGCATAAATACTAGACTGTGAGCGGTCCCTCCTTTCTACAGGTTTAGCTTCGCGGGCGTACAAGGAGAAAGAGGGTCTGCCGACAACAAATCAAGAAACGAAGTACGCCCACTTTTCGCTCTTATCAAGTTGGCTCCGCCTTTGCATAAACATTACTTATATCCAATTACATCTATCCAATAGGAACCGTTAATGCCATGTTTATTTATAAAATCAACAATCAGTCTGGAAATTATTTATAGCATAATTACTACATATCAGATTTGATTGCCAGGCACATCGATTTCGACCAATGGGAATTTTGCGTTGTGTGGGCAACGCGCATTTCGTTTCTTGATGTGTTGTCGGCAGGCCTTCCTTTCTCCCGAGGGGACTGCTCGTGGTCTACACAAATACTATCAAACTACTTGGGCTGGTAATTTCCCAGAATTTGTCGATCACAAGCTTACCATATCTTCTTGTTTTTCCCACTCTTGGTAATATGCACCTTCTTTTTCCCTCTGCATCATCTCCTAAACGTTTTATATTTGTACTCATTAGGAATGTCACGATTGTCTGGTGGGGAGAGCTTACACTAGGATTAGTATTTCCCCCTCTTCAAAAGCTAACAACATACCCTTTCCTCGTCTCTGGCCATTCTTTCTTGCTCTCGTTCCTGAAAATGTGGAATAAAACTATAAAAGTGGTGCATGTGTACATGTGCAACATAGTATTAAAAATTGCAAAGACGATAGCAGAAGTTTTAACTTTAAAAATAGCATTTGTTATCATTGTAACCTGTCGTCTTCTCTTGACACTTGCTAGTTCCCTCTGAAAAATATAAGGTACAATTCATCAGGACTAAAATTTTGCCAAAATGAAAATTTAGAGACTTTGCAAAGAATTTAGTGACATTGTACTTCCATTACCTTCATTTCTTCACGTTTCACTTGATTTCTTCTGACTTTCTCTGCTTCGCTCAAATGAGTCGTTCCTTCTTTCTCATGTTTCTATAATAAAAAAGCCAACACATTATTTGCATTACAAAATTTGCAATAAACGCCGCCCTCGAATAAACGCCGCACCTTGAGCGCCAAAAATTTAATAAACGCCGCGGCGTTTATTCGAATAATTCAGTGGTGATTCAATAAAAATTCTCTTGGTGAGTAAATCATCTGGCATTAGACAGAGTAAAATAATAAAGCAGGGCACAGTGGAATTAGGCGTAAAAAACGACCCTATTTTTTTCTGCCGACCCTATTATTTTTTCAACGCGATTGACCTATCGACCCTATTTTCTCCAGGTGGTTGCGGGCTGCTCATACAGCGTGCCAAAATGGCGTCTGTTGTCACACTAATTATTGAACCAAATTGCCTAAATCCGTCCATAGGAACGACGCATCTCTAGTTAATATTGATGTCGGGACTCTACTGCAAATCGCCCAGCAAAAACCCGCCAAAACCATGAAAAAAATATTCCAAAAAAAATTTTATTTCCGACCTACCGACCCTAATTTTTTCATGATATGAAACCGGAACCACAGGTATTTTTTTTACGCCTTGACATATTGCCACTTAAATTGTTAAACAGGCTTAGAAGTTAACTTTTCAAACCTTGTGCCAAATAAAAGTTTCCAGTAAATGTGTGTCACCATAGGGATTATCTGTGTTTGTGTAGTTCTAGAAATGTAATCGGAAAACGATGCTTACTGAGATCTAATCCATATACTTAAAACGTTATAAGACTGAAATAATAAAATTAAATTCTATTTACCAATTCCTCATCATCCCATCCCATTTCTTTTCGTTTCTTGATCTCTTTTGCTTGCTGTTAAACATTATCAATAATTTCTAAATTATTATACCAGTGGCGTAGCCAGCCCGATAATTTAGTCCCGCTATGCAAATTCAAAATTATTATCATTAATTTATTTATAGAAATTGATTGTTTTCACAGTCAAGCTTTTAGCCAGGGTCCTAAAAGAGGGCGTCCAATTTTGGTACAACGATACATCTACAGTAAAGGGGGGGGGGGGGGGGGTCTTCATGTTACACATTATATGGTACATCTACATAGTGATGAGGTCGAAAACGTTCCTTTTCATATGTTACGTTTTCCTCTTCATATGCTGCTGTTCCAAGCTCGTTCGAAATTTTTCAAACACACTTGGCTTGGTGAGTTTGTGCCGCTATGCTTCTTTACTTAACTACAACATTTTCATTCAGCCAGGTACACCATCAAATTGATCAAAATGTCAAATGTATAATAATAATGAGAATTGAAGCTATTTCGTTTCAGATATATTAATATACTTAGGGAAATAATTGAAAATAATTTCCCTTTTCCCCCAGAATTTGGGCGTCCATTTTTTGTTCTATGAGTGTCCCAGGACGCCTGGACGCCCTTCTGGCCAAAAGCCTGTTCACAGTCAATGAACACGAAAATATTTGCATAGCGGGACTAAATCGTCGGGCTGGCTACGCTATACTGACTATATCATAATATTATCAACCTTCTTTGCCAATCTTCTTGCACGTTTTTCTTCTGGCGTTTCTAAAGCTTTCTTCAGTTCCTTCTCTTTTCTACACAAATGATATATATATATATATATATATAAACGAGTATATGTTTATGACATTCAGTATATATTTCATAATTTCCAGTCTTAAATCCGTCTGACCGTGTAGCTCAGTTGGTAGAGCGTCGATCTAGTAATTCGAAGGTCGCGGGTTCAAGACCCAGCCGCGGCAGACTTTATCTTTCTGCTTACGCTGGGTATGGAAATTATATAATACACACTCGAGAACATTTTCACCTTAATATATATAAATATATATGCCTTTGTGCGTGAAACTCGAGTAACTTTTATCATAAATAGGTTTAGGTTTTATTAAATTATCTTCAGATATCATGTCTTAGTCTACACCAATAATAGTTTTGCTCTGCAAAATCTTAC